GAGAGAGACAGAGAGACAGAGAGACAGAGAGACAGAGAGACAGAGAGACAGAGAGACAGAGAGACAGAGAGACAGAGAGACAGAGAGACAGAGACACAGAGAGAGAGAGACAGAGAGAGGCAGAGAGAGTGGCAGAGAGAGTGGCAGAGAGAGAGGCAGAGAGAGAGGCAGAGAGAGAGACAGAGAGAGACAGAGACAGAGAGAGAGACAGAGAGACACACAGAGACACACAGAGACACACAGAGACACACAGAGACACACAGAGACACACAGAGACACAGAGAGACACAGAGACAGAGAGAGAGACAGAGAGAGAGACAGAGAGAGAGAGAGAGACAGAGAGACAGAGAGAGGGACAGAGAGAGAGACAGAGAGACAGAGAGACAGAGAGACAGAGAGACAGAGAGACAGAGAGACAGCGAGACAGCGAGACAGAGAGACAGAGAGACAGAGAGACAGAGAGACAGAGACACAGAGAGAGACAGAGAGAGGCAGAGAGACACAGAGAGACACAGAGAGACACAGAGAGACACAGAGAGACACAGAGAGACACAGAGAGACACACAGAAACACACAGAGACACACAGAGACACACAGAAACACACAGAGACACACAGAGACACAGAGAGACACAGAGAGACACAGAGAGACACAGAGAGACACAGAGAGACACAGAGACACACAGAGACACACAGAGACACACACAGAGAGACACACACAGAGACACACACAGAGACAGAGACAGAGAGACAGAGAGACAGCAGACAGCGAGACAGAGACACACACAGAGAGACACACACAGAGAGACACAGAGAGACACAGAGAGAGACAGAGACACACAGAGACACACAGAGACACACAGAGACACACAGAGACACACAGAGACACACAGAGACACACAGAGACACACAGAGACACACAGAGACACACAGAGACACACAGAAACACACAGAGACACACAGAGACACACAGAGACACACAGAGACACACAGAGACACACAGAGACACCCAGAGACACAAAGAGACACACAGAGACACACAGAGACACACAGAGACACACAGAGACACACAGAGACACACAGAGACACACAGAGACACACAGAGACACACAGAGACACACAGAGACACACAGAGACACACAGAGACACACAGAGACACACAAAGACACACAGAGACACACAGAGACACACAGAGACACACAGAGACACACAAAGACACACAGAGACACACAGAGACACACAGAGACACACAGAGACACACAGAGAGACACAGAGACACACAGAGACACAC